AGGGAGTCACAGACTGAAACAGGCTCCAGGCTCTGAGCTGGCAGTCAGCACAGAGCCCGACGCGGGGCTCGAACCCACGAACCGCGAGATCATGACCTAAGCGAAAGTCGGACGCCCAACCGACTAAGCCACCCAGGCGCCCCTTTTACACCAAACTTCTAATGGCCTCCTACACAGACTTGGGAAGTGACTCATCTGATTGTATTCTTTCAAAAATGTTCAGAAATTCACCAGTGAAGCCAGTTGGCCCTGGGTATTCTTTCTGGGAAGACGAGTTCAATTTCTTTCATAGTTATGGGACTATTAAGATTTTCTATTTCCTTTTCTTTCAATTTTGGTAAACTGTGACCTTTAATGAATTTGGCCATTTCATCCAGACTCTCAAGTCTATTGGCATGAAACAGTATAATAACTGTCTGTAGTACTTGGTATGCTTTCCTTCACATAATGAGAATGTAAGCTATCTGAAGGCAAGGATTTTGGTCCATATTGTTCACTGATGGATCCCCATACACTATGTGTAAAATAGTGCCTACTATGTGATAGACACTCAATACAATTGAATTAATGAATCAATAAACAATGGTATCATCCAGATGCCAAGTGAGAATCTTTATATTTTTTATTTTTCTAAATTTTAAAAAAATGTCTTTATGTATTTTTGAGAGAGACAGAGCATGAGTAGCGGAGGGGCAGAGAGAGAGAGAGGGAGACACAGAATCTGAAGCAGACTCCAGGCTCTGAGCTGTCAGCACAGGGCTCGATGCGGGACTTGAACTCGTGAACCACGAGATCATGACCTGAGCTGAAGTTGAACACTTAACTGACCAAGCCATCCACGCGCCCCAAGTGAGAACCTTTAAAGTCTAGCTGAGGGGCGCCTGGGTGGCTTAGTCGGTTAAGCGTCTGACTTTCCCTTGGGTCATGATCTCACGGTTCGTGGGTTCGAGCCCCGCATCAGGCTCTGTGCTGACTGTCAGCTCTGAGCCTGGAGACTAATTCAGTCTGTATCTCCCTCTCTCTCTGACCCTCCCCTGCTCACGCTGTCTCTCTCTCTCTCTCCTAGAAATAAATTTAAAAAATATATTAAAAAAAATAAATAAATAAAGTCTAGCTGAAATAATCTCTGACCCTCATATCATTGTAGTTTACAAGACTTACAAATTCCCATGTGGCTTACATTTTTATCAACACCTCTGGTTTTGAATTTCTGCTTCAAGTAAAGCACTCTGACTGTTGCCTGGTGCTTCTGTTTTAAAATAAGTTAGTCCAGGCAGTACATTGAGCTCCATAGAGACAGCGCAGGGGCAAGTGAGAGCCAGACGGGCACTGGGCGACTCTGTGCCTCGCTGAGGAAAATAATCAAACATGGGCAAAGGAGATCCTAAGAAGCCGAGAGGCAAAATGTCATCATATGCATTCTTCGTCCAAACTTGCCGAGAGGAACACAAGAAGAAGCACCCGGATGCTTCAGTTAACTTCTCAGAGTTTTCTAAGAAGTGCTCAGAGAGGTGGAAGACCATGTCTGCTAAAGAGAAAGGAAAGTTTGAAGACATGGCAAAATCGGACAAGGCTCGTTATGAAAGAGAAATGAAAACTTATATCCCCCCTAAAGGGGAAACAAAAAAGAAGTTCAAGGATCCCAATGCACCCAAGAGGCCTCCTTCGGCCTTTTTCTTGTTTTGTTCCGAGTATCGCCCAAAAATCAAAGGAGAGCACCCTGGCCTGTCCATCGGGGATGTTGCAAAGAAGCTGGGAGAGATGTGGAATAACACCGCTGCTGACGACAAGCAGCCTTACGAAAAGAAAGCTGCGAAGCTGAAGGAAAAATACGAAAAGGATATTGCTGCATACCGAGCTAAAGGAAAGCCTGATGCAGCAAAAAAGGGAGTCGTCAAGGCTGAAAAAAGCAAGAAAAAGAAGGAAGAGGAGGAGG